ATGGCATTATAGCAGAAAATGACATCCGAAGCCGCTGTTGGCGTGAATATTGACTCGCATTGTGGGGTTAGCCAGGAGGTGGCCTGGAAAATTACATGATTTGAGGCTTTAAATAGTTTAATTCTATCGGAATTCCTAAAGGCTTTCTGCTCTGCATGCCCAGACTAATAATTTAGAGAATTTCTGCTTGCTTGCCCTGCATTGCTGAGAATTTGTAATTCAAAAGAACTCGCAGGCTTTTTGCTATCACCCTTTATCGGAATCCTCAAAAATCTCTGCTAGTTTCCACTCAATTTCTATGTTCTGAACAAACGCTTCTAGTCTCACCCTATATTCCTCAAAGTTCGCTTCTAGCTAACCCTACCAGGGACGTAGCGTAACACAATGCCCTGGGGCCCGGCCCCTGAAATCGGCCGGGGCCTGAAAATTTCATAAGGGGGACCCTTATGATTTTTATTTTTCAGAAATTTTGCTGCCTGCGGCGCCATTTTTTCACGTTTTTACGGCTATTTGAAGAGCTATGTAACCTTGTTTTCAAAATTTTTGCCTGCGGCGCTGTTTTTCGGCAATGTTTTGAGTTTTTTGGAAAAATTTTTCGGGGCCCCCCGAAATTTTTTTCTGGCTACGTCTCTGAACCCTACCCTCACTTCCCCAGAGATCTCCTAGCTTATCTTCCAATTACTATGACCTAACCGTAACTGCTAGTTGCCTAAATTCCTCAACGCAATCTGGTAGATCGCCCTACCTGGCTTCATTAAGTGCATTGGTTAGCCCACATTCAAGTCTCTATGATCAAGCGATCGCAGCTATGGAACCCTAGATTCCTCAAAGATCTCTGCTAGGTTGCCCTACCTTAAGTTCCACAATGTTCTTTGCTAGTCTGCCTGAGCTAGCAAAACTTATAGTCTCAAAAACCCACCATAACTTCCAGGAACTCTCCAAGTGTATTCCAACCGGTGGACAATCTTCGAATTGGAAGCAGGCGGGCGGGTAGTGGACGACCAGCGGTTTCGAGGTGGTGAATTCAAGCATACTCTTCCTTAATATATTTTTTATTATAAAAAGTAAAGCTGAAAAAAAAATCAGAAAAAATTATTAGAAGAAGAACACTGCCTCTGCCTCCAAAACAATGTTCCCATTTTCCAAGATTTTCCCGACCCCCATTCTGTTTTGATCTAATCGCATAGCGCGGGTGGTGTAACGGCATTACTATTAATGTGAGCACGAGAATGGAACGGGCCGGGTCGGACCGTAAAACAATAAAAACAGCAATTAGCGCCGGGTTTCGGGTGCTGGAACGTTGCCAAGTTGCTGCAGGCGGCCAAAGACCATCAATTCCGTTGCGCACCCAATGCCGAATGTTTTTAGATGTTTAGAATGCGCATTTCGAGTTCAGTACGCACAATTCGTATCATCAGTAACAACAGCAAATCAGAAAACGCTCAAAGGTCGAAAAATCTGATGCTGAACCTCGTCACGGTCGTTCTGGCGGTGAGCCAGAACCCATTCCGTTGCGCGCCAAATTCCACTGGTTTTTATGTGTTTAGTTCGCTATTTTTGGGGTCCCACCACGTACAAATTTCACGTAAGAACAATGCGTTCTCGCGTCAAGACTGCCTAGATGTTGTTGAGCTGTGTTTTTTTGGGATCGGAATTGGACCGTGAGAATAGAAATCCGTGTACCTAATCGTGTGAAAACCAGACAGACAAAACGACAACAATACAACAACCGAGAGTGCCGCTTGCCTTGATTTTCAGGTAAAAGTTTTAAGTTTTTTAGGTTTAGCAATTTAGGTGAGAATTTACAATCTGTCCCCCATTTCCTATCCCGTAGTCTACCGTAATCCCTAACCTTTTTAAATTTACCTCAAACCCCGATTTCGTACGCTACACGGCTCTCGAATTTTACAGATTTATGACTGGTATTGTTCCGGATACCATTACCTTGATGCGTACTTAAATTTCAGTTATCTTTATTACTTTTTCTTCACTTCCTCCTCATATACTAGCCCTTCCTGTCTGACTGGTCATCCGAGAGATTGGCGCTTGTTTGCAGTAGAAGACGTCTTGCTTGACCATGCTCTGGATATTCGTCCTCACTCCGTCAACTGCACTTTTAGCTTTGGCGTAGACTGTTCGAGCACAGGTACAACATCTGAAAACCAGGATATATTTGTGGAAAAAAACTCTAATGAGGACTGAAATTTAAATTCAAGGCGTAGCTTGAGAGAGAGCGAGAAAAAGAGAGTTAGGGAGAGAGAGAGAGAGAGAGAGAAAGAGAGAGAGAGAGAGAGAAAGAGAGAGAAAGAGAGAGGCACCTACCGGAGCTATGGAGCAGCAAATTGGCTTGGCAAAGTGGCTGAGGTAAGCGTTAAAGTAGTCGTCACCAAGGCTAAAGATTGTAAGTACGATTTTCCCATTTCCGCTTACTTTATTTTGCTTCCTAGCCAAAAACTGGCGTAAAGGAAAATGACTTGGGTGAGGAATACTGTAAAAAGAAGTGAAAAGGATTAGGCGATGTCCTCGGGTAGATGAGGTTGACATCTGAAAGCTCAGGAGAATTTTCTCTCTCTGTTTTTATCTCTCACTCTCGCCCTCCCTGTCTTTCTCTCTCGCTCTCTCCCTCTCTCTTCCTTTCTCTCTGTCTCTCGCTCCTTCTAGCCTCTCTCTCTCTCTCTCTCTCTCTCTCTGTCAAACGCACCCTAGCCACTTTTATAGCACACGCCAAGTAAAGTAGCGCAGTCAAGAGGACGGCCAGGCCGAGTAATAGGAACCGGATGTACTAAAAAGATACTCAGAAATTAATATGGTAAAACCACATGGTTCTACTTGTCTAAACCGAAAAACCTGAATCCACAAACGAAAATACCTGCATGGGCCAAATATTGGCGTCTCCATAGGCGGGTGGAACCGAGATGTCGGCTAACAGGTGTGTTTGGTGCAAAACAAAAGTGGAAATTCCGATAAGGATCGTGATAATGGCGCCGATGACAGGTATCTTGTTGCTGACCTGGAAAAGAAGATTATAGTGTGTAGACAGCTGTGAAAACGCTCAGGCTGAGATCTCCTCCATTAAAGGGTATGCCAGGCTACGTTTTGGAAGAGCCTTCCGGCTAGTAATCTGCCAAGTATAGATCGGCCCTTCCTAAGTGTGCCTTCCCGATCCCTTTAAGGATAGTAGTAAATTTATAGATATGTTTCTAGCGATCTTTAGCGTGTTGCATCACACGGCGCGGTTCAATTGGCTGGACAACCGTCACGATGTCTATTTTTGCTACTCACCTCCCTATGCAAATTCGTTATTTCGTTTAGCCTCAGGCAAGCCATGAGAACATTCGTGCTGACAAGCATATCTTGAAGACCGCCACTTATCGCTTGATAAGTGATATGCAAATCGACCTCGATAATTCATCGCACAACCAAGCTCCGGTTCTAAAAGGTACTTACCGAGTCATTTTTATTTAAGAAGTTATGCTTCGACCAGAGACATACAGAGATAGAAAGAGAGCGAGAGAGAGAGCGCGACAGAGAGAAAGAGAGAGAACTAGAGAGAGAGAGCGGGAGAGAGAGAGGAGAGATGGAGAGAGCGAAAGAGAGGAGCGAGAGAGAGGGAGAGATGAGAGAGTGAGTGAGAGAGCGAGAGAGAGGGAGAGCGCGAGAGAAAGAGAGAGAACCCAGAGAGATAGCGGGAGAGGGAGGAGAGATGAGAGAGCGAGTGAGAGAGCGAGAGAGAGGGAGGTAGCGAGAGAGAGCGAGAGAGAGAACGTGACTAATTTGCGAAATTCTCACCACGTGCCGTGAGAACCAAGGTGCACGAGTCGGAAAGATACAAAGCCTGACGCAAATTCGAAAATTGCGCGTTAATCTCTTCTGCGAGAGGATAAAGATCAATAATGCCGTATAATCGCCAGGGTCAGGATATTAAAGCAGAAAATGATGTCCGAAGATGTAGGAGTGGCGAACCAGGACTGGCAAATTCTTGGTTGATCCAGGTTGTGGCCTAAAAAAGCAAAACCTGTTGATTTTATGGTATTTTGAGATGAGATTATTGATGCAGAAATGTTGTAATGTATAAAACCAAAACATCTGTTTGGTGCTATTAAACAAATTAAAACATGAAAAAGATAAAAATTAAGTGATGCAATTTTTAGGGGCACTTTAAGCTTCTAAAAATTTTTAATTTGAATGTGGTAGGTATCACTAAATGCCACAATTTTTTAATGCACCTACTAGCTTAACTAAGTAAAATTGCCTTAATTTTCAATTTTCCCGGCTTACAATAACTTCCAGGAGCTCGACAACCGTATAAAGATTCGGAGGACAATCGGCAAAATCGAAGCAGGCTGGCGGGAAATATACCACTATCGGATATTCCGTTGTAAACGGCATAAATACGTCCAAGTCAAATTTAGATGTAGAAAATCGAGGGCTTTTCTGAAGCTGTTGTGCCCCACAACCAACAATCGCATTATCCGAGAACGTGGGCCCCCGTGCCTTAATGTGTTGATAGGCGTGGTAAAAACAATCAAGGAAACCCCATCAGAAATTGGGGAAACGTCAAGTGTCACTTGTCAGTATTCTAGTAAATTTTTGCAGCTTGAGGTTCAAGGAAAATATTCGTTTTCAGCTTTCGTTTCTCTCTCGCTCTCCCTCGCTCTCTCTCACTCTCTCTGTCTCTCTCTCGCCCGCTCCTTCTCTCGCTTTCTCCCCTCTCTCAACCTCTCCCCGACACTGCCTCAGTCTTTCTCTCTATCTATCGATTTCCTCTATCCTCTCTCTCTCGCTCTGTCTCTCCCTCTCTCTCCTCCCCTCTCTCTCTCTCTCTCTTTCACGCTCTCTCAATTTCTCTCTCTTTATCTTAATTTTTATTTGCAGTTTAGAGCAAGCCGTTATTTGAAAAATTCTTTATTATTGAGACCAAAAAATCCAGACGTAAAATAAATTACAGAGCACAGTAATTGAGCGTAAAATTCATTCAAGGTATCCAAAACTCTCATTTATTGCTTGTTGCCACGGATGTAGAGGATTCCCTGCGAAAGGTGAGACTTGGATCGACTCGCGTCGACGCCGGCTGGGAGGTGGTAGCAGCTAAAAGTAACTTTATAAGGTATGTTAATTTAGTTTTTTGATTTAATTAGTAAAGCGATGCATTAAGGTGCCAAGAAGTAAAAGAAATTAAGATTACGGTAATACCGAAAATACCAACCGGCTAATCTTCCTGGTGATGGAGCCGAATTTGTCAGTGCGCTGCTCGTGCTCAAAGTCGATTTCCAGCCGATCTCCGATCACTTTCACCTGGAAAACTATCGTAAATAAAGAAAGGCAAGTTTTTGCGAATTTATGAAACAGATTTTTTGATATGCTCAAAAGCTAATTGCGAATTTTGCGCCAAGGTTCGAAGAACTTACCGTAATCTCCTTCTCGGTGAAGTATTTGGCGTCGAGGCCGACCTCAAAACCGGTGCCGTCGTCGTGAACCTGGAAATATCAATGTTTTTTACGATTTTCAGGGCTAAAAATCCATTGTTTGGGGGTATGAAGGGACTAGAACTCACTCGAATGACTCCATCTCCACCATGGAGGGGCCAGTCCCAGAACTTGGCCTGGTGCTCATTGCCGTCGTGGTCAACTTCGATTTGCGACATCTGGACTATTGGATTTATGAGGTTCAAATAAAAGGCAAAGCAGCGAGAGAGAGAGGGTGAAGAACGTGCGAGAGATCGAGAGGGGGAATTTAGTGTTTCGAGGCGTACAGTGGAGTTTAAAGTAACGTCTAACAAGGGAACCACAAGTTGGCACGGTGGAATTTCGAAAAACGCTCGCGGCTACCCCTAGGTTTTCGACGACGGCGATTCCAACGCGCTAGTCAGAATTAGCTAAATCGCACTGTGGACAGAGATACAGCACTTCCGGAAAATGGTTAATTTACATTCGGAGGAATTAGCATTCACCTCAGGGTTTATGAGGGCTTCCCATCTCAGAAGAATCACCAGTTGAATGGCCGGGTGGCAAGCGGCTAGCTTGTTAGGATACTGACCAGGGTTCGAATCCGTTCACGACTGTTTTGTTTTGCTTTTTGGACGGAAGTTTCGATTTTTTCACACACACATAGTAAAGCTTTTATTCGTTGGTGATGAGGCCGATTCCTGCAAAAACGTTTTGAAATTGCATCTTTCATGCGACGGCCCCTTTCAAACGAACGAGTAGCTTTTAAGAAGCTTGTAGTTTTGCTCAAAGTTCCGTCCAAAAGCAAAACAAAAAGTCGTGAACGGATTTTACGATGTCAATTACAGTAATCATAAGACCGAAAAGCGCTAAAAATACGCTGTTCGTGGTTAAATCAAATAAATTCGCCACCACTAAGAAAATTTCAAAGTTCAGTTTAGTTTAATTCGAGGATTACGGTAGCCATTGCAAAAAGTCAGATCGATTCCAAGAGATCTCAATGCGGAAGAAAAGTTTAAAGTGGTCAGTGAGGCCAAGAGGCCAATGCAGATTTCTCGAGGTCCTGGTCGAGCGGCTTTTATAGGGGCTGGCTTGGGGGGATGGGCGCGGGCGGCGTCAACAGCTGGTGATCCTCTCGGGTGGAGACCCGGTCTCAGATGTGCCCTCAGGGGAGCTGAGCCTCAGAGCACGACCACCAAGCTGTGTACTAAGGAAGGATTGTGCACGTATTTTGACCTGCGAGGGCGCCACTCCGAGGCTCGATCCGCTCGAAATGTTTCTGGAAATGAGGGATGGGTCTGGAAAGGAGGGGGGTGAAGCTGGATTTATTTATGGTTTCTAAAGGGATAGCGTAGCATTAGAGATAGAGATAGAGATGTGGAGAGACACATAGAAAGGAAAGAGGGAGAGAGAGGGAGAGAGAGACAGAGAGAGAGAGAGAGAGAGAGAGAGAGAGAGAGAGAGTCGGTGTGCGATAGAGCGGGGAGAGGGGGAGGGAGAGCCAGAGTGAGAGAGCGAGGGAGTAGAGGAGGAAGAGAGTGAGAGAGAAGAAGAGAGAGAGGTGAGAGAGGGCAAGCGAGACGAGTATGATAGAGAGTGAGAGAGGGAGGGATGTAGAAGACGAAATTCGCATGCATGGGAACGAGTGCAATAATTTTGAATCCGGCCGTCACTCATATTGGCGTTTGCCGGATCTTTTGATTTGTTAATGCTGAAAGTATTGTCACTCTCCCTTTCAAGATACCAAATTTGTTGATTTTGAAGCTTTTGTGGAGCTTTTTTGCTTCAAATTTCAAGGTAGCCCTCCTCCTCCTCATCCCTTCCGGTTAACGCAAGGCTCTCCGCTTCGATCTTTTTGGCCCTCAAGCTCCCGGCAATAACAAAACTTTACGTCAGCTTTGTCACCTCGAGCCTGTTTCTCTCTGTTCTCTCTGTTCTCCCCTCGCCGTTCTAAAGGGCACCCGGTAAACAAGGGATACAACATGGCGCTCCACAGTGGCAGCTTGTTGTTGATCGCACAGCAAAAGTGTTTCAAGCCACAAACAACATCTGGCTGGAGGGGTTCGAGGCTTCGAGAGGGGCAAGGTTTTGGCTTGAATTCAGGCTTTGCGGCTTCGACGCACCCTTCAGTCTTAGCATAGGCTTCGACGGCTTCAATAGCTCCAAAATAAATCCTGATAATTCTAGCCAGATACCTTAGCGAAAGCCATAGCAATTCAACGATTCGAGGTACCGGTAGTGTTCTAAGGACTTGAAAACGTTATATATTGTTTTCGATTGGTGAAACTACCTTTATTTTGTTGTTTTCATCAGTCCCGCGGTGATGCTCTGTACTCGCCGATGTACACGAGGGGAGATTGTGCAAGGATTTCCCATTCCAAGGGCTCGTTGCTGATATTCGCGCCATTTTCAGAGATTCTCCGGACCTTGCCGGGAGTCGAAAGCGATAGGGAGAGGGGAGAGATGCGTGGAATGTGCTGATTTGTGCAGGAAATTCCCTGGTGTGTGTTTGATTCGTCTTGGTCAGAACTAGAAAGTGAGAGGGAGAGTGAGCACGCGAGAACGAGTGAGAGAGAGCAAGAGAGAAAGAGAGAGAGAGGGAGAGAGATAGAGAGAGACAGAGGGAGAAAGAGAGAGAGAGAGAGAGAGAGAGAGAGAGCGAGAGCGAGAGAACGAGCACGAAAGGCCTGGACCCTGGCGCGACATTACCTGACCTTCGCGGCGCCTGATCAAATTATCAAAGCCAAACAAAGCTGTCTGCAGTTCCTGTCGCTGCCCCTTGAACTGATTACGACATGTAAATCAAAAAGTTCAAAGCTTTTCCGCCTCTAGCTATATATCTATCATTATCTCTCACTCTCTTGTCTCCCTTTCGATCTCTTTCTTTTTCTCTCTCTCTCTCTCTCTCTCTCTCTTGTCTCAGCAATATTTCTGATTTCTGTTCATCAGCCACCGAGCACTTTTTCACCCAGCTACGTGCTAAATTGGAGGGCCCAATTTTGGGTTGGCAACATTCGAAAAAACTGGCGTGCAGACCGTTGTTATTGCTGTCCATCTGACAGACCAATAATGGCTCTAATCTGTGTTGGAATGACCCGTCGGCCGTCCCGTACCTTCGAACGCTAGCGCCACCCGTACTTCGCCGGCTGATAAGATTTTTCCTTCTATATTTTCTAGCCCGATAAGGGCACATAATTTTCTCGGCCATGAATCACAGCCAGTTTTTCATCAGCGTTTTCGTGTGATCGGAAAAGGGGGGAGCTATTCAGGAGCGAAGGTCGCTTCAGGGGTCCAAGGCCTGATTTTTGGAGCTATTTCGGCTCGTTTATGAAAGGCAAATGGAGCCGGGCCAAGGGCTAAAAGGTGTGTCTATTAAGCACTTTTCGAATTTTTTACGATGTGGCACAGCTTACCGATCGAGCTTGTAGTTCTGGACAAATCCCAAACTCCTTGCCGAATCACAAAGGCCCTAAAAAGTTTTTTAAAGTGTAGGTTCAAAGCGTGTTGAGCGTGGACAAAAAAAATATGAAAGGCTCTGCACTATGAAAACCGAAAACAAAATGAAATAAGACTTTGAAAAGATTCTAAAAAGGCAACTATTTTTTTAGATTTCCTATACCTTTCACACAAAGCTTTAGGTAAACGAAAAAAACGTGAAAAGGGCTTGTCCATTTTTATTATCGCCAGTTCTCGTAATTTAAAATTGCTCCCGTTCGAGTTGATGTTAAAGGGCTGGAGGAAGATGGGCCGGCGTCCGTCGGGGTGACGGACCGCCGCGGCGCTACCATCGACGCTTTCCCACGCGTAAGCGCCCCCAAACCCCTCTCGCGTTTGAAGAAACCAGTTTAGTGGCTATAACTTTTTCATTTAGCAATGTTTTCAACTAAAAATTTCCTGAGACCAAGGACTTAGTGATACCCATCGATGGTAAAAATTTGGGCCGGATTGGATAAAAGGTGGTCAAGTTCTGAGCCATACGGGGTTTTGGGACGCTGTTTTGGCTGAAAAAGTGGCACTTCCTAAAGGTCCGCTTTTAGAGATAGTGTTTTAAAGCATGTGGGCAGTGAAGCCTTTTTATAATTTCATAATTCCGAGTTGCTACGCGCGACTCGAATGTTTGGAATTTTTGAAATATCTATCTTTATCCATCACCCATCCATAATGCCTCTTAATTCTACTAGCTCACCGATCAGAATTTCCACAGTTCAACAGCTCAAAATGACACTCTAGGCATCTTCTTGATCTCTTATCACCTTTTCACCCCCTTCTGGGGGCCAAGTGATCTCCGAATTCGCCCGAATTAGCCCTCTACTCGCTCTCCGGTATCTGTGCTCAAAATTGGCCGCCAAAAAAATGGGCAGACGCCGGCCATCCAGCCGACCAGAAACAGACCATTCCCATGGAAACTCGGCGATCTTTGTTTCGAAATAATTACTTTACCTCGCCCGTTGCTCACCGTAATTAGTAGTCACCTGGAATTTTTGCATCAAAGTTCGAGTTTCATTTACGAAAGAATTTCTTAGAGTCATTTTTTAAGGGCTTAAAGGCGCCTGGACAGCAGGAAATGCCCAGTTTCTAATTGTGCTTAAGTTTGCGGTGCAGCCGCAAATCGCGAGAAATCATACCCGAGTTTCCTTAATAATTCTGAACCATTAGAGCGGCCGGAAAAAGCTTTAAACCTTAAATTATTTTTTCCCCTTTGTTTGCTCTGAAAATTTTATATTTAAATACCGTGATAATCCTACAGTTTTTAGTATGATTGGCCTTCTATTATTCCTGTTAGCCGGCGGCTTCATCTTCCGTGAAATGTATTGGAAACGGCGGAAATTGCCGCCAGGGCCGATGCCGTTGCCCTTCATTGGAAATATGCATACTGTATTCAAGCACGAGCCGGGATACGATGCGTATATTAATTGGAAGAAGCAGTATGGGCCGGTTTATACATATTGGTTAGGTACGTTACGCTACCGCTTACGGTTCCCCCTCATGGGCTCTGATATCGATAAAAAATTAACGGATAGAGGGAGGGGGAGAGGGAGAGAGAGAGAGTGACTACTTTCAGGCCCGTATGCCAACGTAGTTATTGCCGATTACGAGACGATGAAAGAAACGATAGTACGAGATGGAGATAAATATGCTAATCGCTTCCACAGTGAGACCATGATTGAATATCGTGGTAAATACTTTTTAGGAGAGAGCGAGAGAGTGAATGAGAGAGAGAGCGAGTGAGAGAGACGACAGAGCATGACAAATTTTAGACGGTATCTACGGTGTCGTCGAAGCAGACGGCGATCTTTGGAAGGAGCAACGGAAATTCGCGCTCCACACCCTTCGCGATTTCGGGATGGGCAAGAATTTGATGGAGCAGAAGGTGAGAGAATCGAAATTTACCACTAAAACTTAGAAAAAAACCTCTTGTACTTCAAATTCCAAATTTCCTCGAATTTCGATCATTTTAGCTCAATGTGAGATCCGTTAAACAACTGCTTAGAGCCCCCAATACCACCAGTTTTCAGGTAATGACGGAAGTGACCCATCTACTCGATCGAATCTCAAACCAAAGCGGAATCGCCGCCCAGTGGGAATTCGATGTTGCAGTGGGGTCCATTATCAACAGCCTACTTTTCGGGTATCGATATGAGGAGGTAATTTGGCTAAAGGAACCTTAAAAACCGATTAATCTCAGGAAAATCTTGCGGAGTTCAAGGAGCTCAAAGGCCTTCTGGGAGACCATATGAAAATTGTAGCCTCGCCAACAGGAGGGCTTGTATTAATGTTGCCATGGACGAGACCGTTGCCGTATTTTAAGGGTAAGAAACGAGAGAGAGCGAGAGAGAGCGAGAGCGAGAGAGAGAGAGAAAGGGAGATTGAGAGAGAGCGAGAGAGAAAGAGAGAGAAGAGATAGCCTTAAATCTCGAAATAAGGCGATTTTCTAGAAGCCCACGCCAAAATTCTCTACATCCGTGACCGAATCCTGAACTGTTTCCGGCGTCAGCTAGCTGATCGCAGGCTTCCAATCGAAACGGAATTTGACACTGTAACTAATTATCCATTTTTGTATATTTTAGCTTTTTTAGCCAAGTGTGGATTTTGTGGAAGCATACTTGAAGGAGCAACAAAAGAAGAAGGATGAGCCGGATTTTGGAGGCTTCAGGTTCGAAAGCTTACCCTGGCCTTGAAAAATATAATATTTTTCTAGCATGAAACAGCTGGAAAATGTCATTTTTGATTTGTGGATTGCTGGTAGGTCGGGGGAAAGAAAGAGAGCGAGAGAGAGAGAAAGAGAGAGAGAGAGAGAGAGAGAGGGGAGAGAAAGCGAGAGAGTTGTTTTTTTATGTGTTTTCGATTCCAGGAATGGAAACAACATCAAATACCCTCACCTGGGGGCTGGCCTTCATCTTGAACGACGACGACGTGCAACGGAAAATTCATGAAGAACTCGATTCGGCCCTAAAATCCGATCGTCTCGTCACGCTGGCCGATAAGCCAAATCTGAATTATATCAACGCGACGATTTGTGTGAGTTTCAAGAAAACTGTCTAAAAAATTCAACAGAATTGGCAAAAATGCGCGTTTTAAAACAAAGAATATGATGAAAACTATCGCCAAACTGTGTAGAAAAATTTAAGCGCATCTAAATTATACCTAACCCACCGGCCATGAAATAAACTGCGCGAAAAACACGCATTTTAGGAAATCCAACGGCTCGCTAACCTGCTTCCGATGAATCTCATTCACCAGACGACGGAGGATGTCACCATCAATGGCCACTTTTTAGAGGCAGGCACCAATGTCATCCCGCAGATCTCGTGTGTGCTTTTTGATGAGAAGGTAGGAGAATACCTAGATAATAATAGATTAGATTTACCTCTATCTAGCCAAAAACAACTTTTTATAATTCTAGATAACACATTATATGGGCCTGAGGAAAAAGTCGAATAGGCAAAATTCATACCCTTCAGATCTTCCCCGAACCACAATCCTTCAAACCGGAAAGATTCCTGAATCCCGATGGCTCGCTGCGAAAAGTCGAAGAATTGATCCCGTTCTCCCTCGGCAAGCGCCAATGCCTGGGCGAGGGGCTGGCCAGGATGGAGCTCTTCCTCTTTGTCGCCAACATTTTCCAAAAGTTCAAGGTAACTAAAATGGCGACTAAGATGTTTCTGCATCTGTAACCGCTATAAAAACTAGCCAGAACTTTTTCTAGCCCTTTCTAACATGCCTAAATGTATTTTGGAGCTGCTACGGAAAGGCGAAAAGACGAGATTAGGAGACAAAGCCATGAAAAAAAGTGCCAAAAAAGGGCTAGAAAATAGCAAAAGCCCTTTTAGCTGCTCAAATCTACGCTAAAAGTAATTTTTAACTTTTCTAAACTATTAAAAGGACCCAAAAAGGCATAGAAAAGACGGGTCACCAACTAAAAAGTAACGTTTAGGACAGAATAACCTCTTAGAAACTCAACTTTTATACCAATGCAATGTAATTTATTAAGGCTAAAACAAAACAACAATAAAAGCCAATCAAAACTCTGCAGGTCACCTCCCCCACCCGACCATCGCTGAAGAAATCCTTCGGTTTCACTGTACAAACGGCGCCCTACACGTGCAATTTCGCGGAAAGGTTTTGAGCGAACACTTTTAACCTATTATCGATTGCTTAATTTATTTGTGTCCATGTCCCGTATTCAATAAAACAAGTTAAAAATCAGAGGATAAAGTCCCAGAGAGCGCAGGCTGTCGGTGCTCTGGGCGCTCTCCATCCCGTCCCCACTCGACCCCCTCCTGGTCCTCATCGTGGACACAAGAGCCGCCCCTTTCCGTCCATCATCGGTTCAGCTCTTCGGAGCATGCGCTTCGGTGTGCGGAGGTCCCTTGTGGGCCTCGTAACCTTAATTTTTGGACAGCCATCCCGGGGTTAACCGGGAAGGCGGCAAGTGTGTTTACGGCGGAATTTATATCCTTAAATGGGGATTTATTGCGCTTGATGTAGGCTTTACAACGACACTAATTTTCCAAAACCTTTACCTTACGTTTTCTCACTAACCACGCTAGTTTTAGAAATTAAAGTAGCTTCTTGTTAAAATATGCGTTTCTTTTTCTAGCGATAACTACAGCGTTTAAGAAAAAACAATAATATTTTTTGCAAACAAAGAATACTAATTTTCCCTGCTACCACAAAAAAACTTTAGCAAATCCCAACGGGTTTGTACGCGCAATTCGGCGCTAGGCATTTTACGTCGTCACAACGTTTGTTTTTAGACCAAAATATTCAATCAGAAAATTTTTACTTTAATGGCTTTTTACCGGCCTTGCCTGAAATTCGCACTTTTTCGCTAGCCTTTTGACTTTTTTGTCGCGAAAAAATCGTTTGAGAAACGAGAAGAAATTTTGTATACTTTACACCCTCGCAACTCGCACAACCCGTAGCCCACAAAACTTTATTCAGCGCAAAAAGCCGGCCCTGCAATGGCCCAGACACGAAACGGGTGGTGTCATCATCATGTCAGTGGGTCGAAGAAAGGGGGCATACACAAAAAATGGGGCGAAATAGCGCTAGCGGGGGATCGATCGTTCTTCAGTAGTTGGTCAGCCGGTAGACGATACCGCCCGGGTGGCGGCGGATGATGCACTTGCGCACCTCGTCGTACATGTAGATGAGTACGGCGAACGGGAGGCCGACCATCGTCGTCGTCATGCTAGAAAATAAAAATTTAGGTCCGGAATAGAGACCAATTTTACCGGAGCGGCGTCTGGGCGAGAATGTTGTAGAGGCCGGGGGTGTAGAGGAAGATGCACGAGAGGACGACCGTAGATATCATGCCCGTGTTCATCACCATGTTGCTGAAATAAACGTGTTGAAGACGTCGTGGGCAGCTAGACTCACTTCATTCCCTGGGTGACCATCGAGTTCTTGCGAGTCTTGGAGATGAACAGGTCGCCCCACTGCACCATCACCATCGACAGGAAGAAGCCCGAGTGGCACGAGCGGAGCAGCTGGCGGCGCGACTCGTAGCACTGCAAAAAAAAAATATATACCATTTTTTATTAAGCCTACCCATTCCTGGCCAAACGAGTCGGCCACCGTGTCGAGGTCCTTGTTGTCCCACTGTTCGCGCAGGCCCCACAGGTCCCACGGCATGAACCCGTTTTGCATCATGATGACTAAAGTAGAATTCGTTTCGCAAAAATGAAAAACTCTTACAAAAGTAGGTGCAAAAGCCGGCAGTCGCTTGCATGACGCCAATGTGCATGTAGGAGAAGAGGATCAGGCTGAAAAATCGGTAAGTCAATTTAATCAAATTTTATAAATATTTTATATAGGAGAAGGTATCAATTTCCCCCGACCTTATATAATTTTGGATGACTAAATCTTGATTTAATGAACCCCCAAAAAAGTGTTATACCGGGCATTGACGAGCTTGTCAATCTTGGCGTCACGCGGCGGGCGCTCCATGATGTCGTTCTCGGGCAGCTCGTAGGCCAGGGAGATGGCCGGCCACTAGAAAGTAAAATCTGAGGTCCTGCCAATCCCAGCTACCAAATCCGTGCCCATGTCGATGAGCAGGATGGACATGAGCGACATTGGCAGCGGGAGGCCAAAGACGACGTACGAGATGAACGGTGTCACTTCTAAAAGAGGGGGGTTCTCAATAAATAAAATGATTATCTACCGCCAATGTTGGACGTCAACACGTAGGCGATCGACTTCTTCAGGTTGTCAAAGATGATGCGCCCCTCCTCGACGCCGGTGACGATCGAGGCAAAGTTGTCGTTGAGGAGGATCATGTCGGCGGCCTGCTTGGAGACGTCAGTGCCGGCGATGCCCATAGCGATTCCTGAAATAGAAATTGAAGGTGATTCCCTAAAAATCGAAGATACCAATATCAGCCTTGCGCAAAGCCGGCGCATCGTTGACACCATCTCCAGTCACGGCGACGATTTGGCCATTCCGCTGGTAGGCCTCGACGATTTGCAGCTTCTGCGTTGGGGACGTGCGGGCAAAGACGACCTAGAAAAATGATGTCCAAAACATCAAAAAAACCAGATACCTGGTGGTAGTTGGCAACAATCGAGTCGAGCGTCGTCTCGGACAACTTCTTCAGTTGTTCGCCGTGCACGACGATGGCCTCGGTCTTCTTCAGGCGGCCAGTGCCGTAGAGCTAAACATGGAAGTTTTAGAATCCAGGATGAAGCGCACCTCTTCTCCAGCTGGCGCATCCGTATCGTCGATCAGCAGGGTGACGTCGATGCCGTTGTCGATGATGTGCACCTGCTTGGCGATGGCCTGGGCGGTGATCGGGTGATCGCCGGTGACCATGACGACCTAAAAAGGGAGGAAGTTTTACAAAGGTTTTTTTGCTATTTTTCCTTTTTCCTATAATTTTTTCTAGTAGTGTCTAGTAGTGTTACAAAAATTATTTTAACCGTGTTTTTGGCAAAAGAAGCTAGCTCCGGAGGCGAAAATTTTCCAGAGACGCGAAAGTCTAAAAATCTGTCCAAAGTAAATCCGATTTTTCGGCAAGCCTTGTTTTGATGCGTTTGATCAAAATTTGTGAACCTTTCACGTTCTAAAACGTAAAAATCGTGTAGGTAGAAAATTGCCATTAATCCATTTTTTCTACACCTTGATTCCAGCGCTTTGGCAAAGATGGACGGCCATGCGGACACCCGGGCGCGGCGGGTCGATCATCGAGATGAGGCCGAGGAAGTTGAGGCCTAAAACACCCAGCATCAAAAATTATAGAAAACACAATCCGTACCAGCCGTGGGATAGTTCGGGTTCTCTAGGTCGAACGCGAAGCCGGGCGGGAACTGGTCTGGGGCAGGATCAGCTCGGCAAACCCGAGCACACGCTCGCCCATGCCGCCTAGGTCGTCGTAGGCCTGAAAGCTGATTTTGAAAACTGGCGCTAAAATTCCAACCTTCTGGAACTGCTTGCGGATGTTGTCATCAATCGGCTTCGGGCCCTCCTCGGTGCTCATCGTGGTGGACATGGCGAGCACGCGCTCGGGGGCACCCTTGAGCACGAGGATGTGCGAGTTGTTGGGGCCGCCGGTGTGGATGGAGAGCTGGTACTTGTTGATCGAGTTGAACGGCTGCTCCATCACCTTCAGGTAGCCCTCACTAAAAGGCAAACTTGATACGCAGAAAAAGTGGATTACCGATACTCGCGCACCGCGTTCGGCGTGACGCCCTGGGAGCGTACGAGCTCGCAATACTGAGGATGGCCGCCTCCGAGGCGTCACCGACCGTTTCGCGCCTTTGCACCGGCACATCCGTGTCGTCTTCCTAAAAAAAAAAGAAACTTTCTAAATACTTCCCTTTCTAAAAATGTACCAGTACCAAATTCTTTCTAAATACTTTCCATACCTTGAAGTCCGAGCGTGAGCACAGCGTGGCGCAGCGCATCAAATCCCCGTAGGCGCCGGTGACCGGAAGTCCGCGGCCCGTCGGTTTTCCATCCTCACCGCACATCACCGCCTCGAAGATCTCGCCGCGAGCCCTAAAAACGATGTTATAACTTTTTTTGGCCCATCAATACCAGAAATGCGCAACGGTCATCCGATTTTGCGTCAGTGTCCCAGTTTTATCAGAGCAGATTGTCGACGTACTGCCCAGCGTCTCGACGGCTTCGAGCTTCTTGACGAGACAGTGCTTTTTGCGCATCTTCTTGGCGGTCAGCGTCAGCGAGGCCTAGAAAAGTGGGGTTCAAAAAACGGCTCTATCCTACCGTGACGGTGGCCGTGATACCCTCCGGGACGTTGGCGACAAAAATGCCCATCATGAACACGAGCGCGGATAGCAGTTCCGAACCGCTGATCATCGACACGATGAAGCAGGTCGAGGCGACGATGAACGCCACGGTGCCGATGATCTAAATTCAAAATTAAGTGAGTCTAAAGTATTGAATTACGCGAATAAAGTGCCGAATCTCGAGCGAGATCGGGGTCGGGCCGGAGGTGACTTAGAGGTGATGGCGGCGATGCGGCCCATCACGGTGTTGTCGCCCGTTCTGATGACGATGCCGCGGCCGGTACCCTCCAGCACGTTCGTGGAGAACATCATCATGTTCTTCGTCTCCAGCGGGTTGTCGTGGGTGCATTCTGGGGCGCGGAGGAGCGGCTCGGATTCTCCGGTCAGCGAAGAGTTGTCGACCTAAAGACATTTAAATAAAAGCATCAGGTTTCACCTATAATTATAATATATGGCCAAAAAAGCAACCTTCTTTAGAGGAA